AGCTTTCAATTTCAGATTTCTGTTGTTTGTACCCAGCCGTAAAATATTTACTTCCCTTTTCAGGTGATAAATCCTTTTTGCCTTTTTGCTATTATTCATTTTAAATGAGTCTGTGCTGATCTAGGATGCCTGCTCTCTTTATAATCTCAAATAATATTTTTTTGATTTGTTTGCAACTCTAGTGATGGAAACGGTTCCATCTCCTCACCTCCCCAGAGCACAATAGATATTTTATTCTGAAAAGAAAAGAATGCCTGCTATTCTTTATTCAAACATCATTCCCGTGTCTTAAAGCAAAGGTATACTTTACGCTCCCCTGACGTCTCATTTGCTCACTAGAGAAAAAACATTGTGCAGCTTACAAGCCAATGCCGTACGGGTTTAAGTACAGAGACAATAGGCAAACTAGGTGGCAGGGAGAGAATACAGTAAAAACCCTGAATAGGCAAAGTACAGGTTCTCCCTAAAGTCAGACTCCAGCTATATGCAAATTTCTTTTGAAATGTTAAAGCCAAACTCCAGGCAGACGTATAAAAGACACATTTTGTCCAGCCCCGTAATCAATACATCAAGACATTTATTTTTTTTAGTGCAAACAGTGTAAGCAAATAGAATGAAGGAGGTAAGTAAGGTAAGTATGAGTCCTGGGGGGATCGGGAAACAAAGCTGTTGCTCTGCTTTGCATAGACTTTTATGGCCATGGACCATCTATCCCCAGATGCCCTGGACCAATTTAGCAGCATCAGCTGACGCCAGTTAATTGGGCAATTGCACTATCTACTTTGCATGCCTAGATGATATTTATATTTATTTTTAGGATATACAAAGCCTTTATGTGGTAAACTGATTTAATCAAAACTCTGCTCTGTTTTTGTTTCTATTTTTTATTATTATTTATGTAATTGTATCTAACAATTGCAATACTAAATAGATAGCAATACACTTTCCACTGGAGCCTGGAGGTGCTGTTTTCATCTGCAGGCTGTAGGCTGATTATGTCAAAGCAGACTCCATCCTCCATGTGATCACTAGCTCAAAGCTGAGAAATTGATCACACGGCCTGGAGCCAATCTGATTGGTTGCCAATGGTCAGTGGGACAGCCAGGATTGAGAGGGACAAGCCATGCAAACTTTTTATGGCTCTCAAGGGAGGGGGGGACATTTAAAGTAGAAGTTCAGTCATCCATCAGCTAACCCTTTGCATGGCTTGTGGCTTTCAATCACCACTGACAATCAGGAATCAATCAGATTGATTACCAGCCATGTGATCAATAATGTATTCTTTCTTTTCTCTTTTTCTATCTTCTTTCTTTCTTTCTTTCTTTCTTTTTTTTTCTTTCTTTCTTTTTTCTTTTTTCTTTCTCCTGTTTTTGTTTTGTTTCTCTTTCTTTCTTTCTTTACTCCTATTTTTCTTTTTTCTTTCTCTCTCTCTCTCTCCTCTCTTCTTTCTTTCTTTCTTTCTTTCTTTCTTTTTCTTTCTTTCTTCCTGTTTCTCTCTTTCTTTCTTTCTTTCTTTCCCCTATTTTTCTTTCTTTCTCCCCCCCCCTATCTCTCTCTTTCTTTCTCTTTCTTTCTTTCTTTCTCTCTCTCTTATTCTCTCTTTTCTACTTTCTTTTCCTTTCCTTTCTTTCTTTTTTTTCCTTCCTTCTTTCTTTCTTTTCTTTCTTTCTTTCTTTCTTTTTCTTTCCTCTTTTTTTCTTTTCTCTCTCTTTTTTTCTTTCTTTCTTTTCTTTCTTCTTTCTTTCTTTTTCTTTCTTTCTTTCATTCTTTCTCTCTCTCTGTCTCTCTTCCTCTCTCTTCCTTTCTTTCTTTTTCTTTTTCTCTCTCTTTCTTTCTTTCTCTTTCTTTCCTCCTCTTTTTTCCTTTCTTTCTTTCTTTCTCCTGTTTCTCTCTCTTTTTTCTTTCTTTCTTCTTTCTTTCTTTCTTTCTTTCTTTCTTTTCTTTCTCTCTTTCTCTCTCTTTCTTTCTCTTCTTCTCTTTCTTTCTTTTTTTACTCCTCTATCTTTCTTTCTTTCTTTCTCTTTCTTTTCTTTTCTCTCTCTCTTCTCTTCCTCTTTTCTTTCTCTTTCTTCTTTCTTTCTCTCTTTCTCTTTCTTTCTTTCTTTCTTCTCTTTCTTCTCTTTCTTCTCTCTCTCTTCTCTCTCTTCTCTTTCTTTCTTCTCTTTTTCTCCTTTTTCTCTTCTTTGTTTCTCTTTCTTTCTTTCTTTTTCTTTCTTCTTTCTTTCTTTTCTTTTCTTTTCTTTCTTCCTCTTTTTTCTTTTCTTTCTTTTCTTTCTCCTTTTCTCTTCTCTTTGTTTCTTTCTTTCTTTCTCTCTCTCTCTTTTTTTACTTTCTTTTCTGTTTCTTCTCTTTGTTTCTTCTTTCTTTTCTCTCTTTTTTTTTTTCTTTCTTTCTTTTTTGCTCTTTCTCTCTCTTTCTTTTCTTTCTTTTTTCTTTTTCTCTTCTCTCCTCTTTTTCTTTTTCTTTCTTTTCTTTCTTTCTTTTCTTTCTATCTCTTTCTTTCTTTCTTTCTTTTCTTTCTTTCTTTTCCTGTTTTTTTTCTTTCTTTTCTTTTTTCTTCTTTTTTCTTTCTTTCTTTCTCTCTCTTTTTTCTCTCTCTCTCTCTCTCTCTTCTCTCTCTTTCTTTATTTTTCTCTCTTTTCTCTTCTTTCTTTCTTTACTCTATTTTTTTTCTTTCTTTCTTTCTTTCTTTCTCTTTCTCTCTCTCTCTCTCTTTCTTTTTTCTTTCTTTCTCTCTCTTTGTTTTCTCTTCTCTTTCTTTTTCTTTCTTTCTTTCTTTCTCCTTTCATTTTCTTTCTTTCTTTCTTTTTTCTTTTCTTTCTCTTCTCTCTCTCTTCCTCTTCTTCTCTTTCTTTCTTTCTTTTGTTCTTTCTTTCTTTTTTTCTTTCTTTCTTTCTTTCTTTCTTTCTTTCTTTCTTTCTTTTTTTCTTCTCTCTCTCTTATTTTCTCTCTCTTCTCTCTTTCTTTGTTTCTCTTTCTTTCTTTCTTTACTCTTATTTTTCTTTCTTTCTTTCTTTCTTTCTTTCTTTCTTTCTCTCTTTCTCTCTCTTTTTCTTTCTTTCTCTCTTTCTTGCTTAATAGCACTGGTGATTCCACTGAAAAGCGGAAGAAGATCTGGCGCTCAAATGTATAGATACTCCAATGAAAAGGGGAAACAGAAAATGTGTCATAAAAGATTGATAGTATGATTCAGCTCAGACTTACATAGAACATGATGAAATCATAAATGCACACAAATGGTAAATAAAGTCCAAAAAACTTTCTCTGAATACTGGCTGGGAGTAAGTGTGGTTAACGGTAGTCATCCTATAGAGCAGGGCCAGCTCTATATGCAAAGATGAGAAAGAAGAGGAACAGGAGGTGTCAGACTAAGCGCAGTATTTAGTATAACGTTTCATTTGTAGGTATATAAACACTCACAAGAAAAAGTATAAAATAAAGCTCATCTGTGTTAGGGTGTATGACCACTCTCCTCCGACCTGTAGGGTACCGCCGTACATGCCTGAACGGCACCTGCACCCACCGCTCCAGCAGAGAGAATCTTCCTTGGGTATGAGGATGTAATGGAGCCGATCAACGGTGTCTGTAACCAGAAAATGGCCCGCACAAACAATGTGGAATGCACTGGCGGAAGTGATATCACTGGAAGTATCAGAGGGGCCAGCTTGGTCTGTGTTCCTGAGATCTTCCAACTGACCCCCTGATCAGTTGGTGTATTTAGGTTTTGTGCTGCCCTAGGCAACACAAAAGTCGGACCTCCCCCCAGCAGAGAAAGCATAACATTGACCAACACCCTGACCCCCCAACCCACCCAAGAGAGCCTTCCACTAACACACATTTCTCCCCCCCCCCCCTTGGAGAGAAAGTCACTCACCTTCACAGCTCTGGACATCCTGGAAGGAGAGTCGGGCTTTGCATACACCATCAAGCAGTCCGCAGCCTCTCTTGACTCCACCTGGTTCCCATGCTGCATATGTCCCTTCTTCCAGAAGGCAGTGCTGCCCCCTCTGAAAAATGCCGCCCTAGGCAAATGCCTTGTTTGCCTTGTGGTAAATACGCCCCTGCTTCTTCCGGTGACTTCACTTCCGCCGGTGCGTTCCACACTGGTTGTGCGGCCATTACCAATGCCATTGACTGGCTCCATTACATCCTCATACCCAAGGAAGATTCTCTCTACTGCACCCAGGGTTCCATCTGTCATTCTGGCATGTCCGGCGGTACCCTACAGGACGGAGGAGAGTGGTCATACACCCAACACAGATGAGGTTTATTTTATCCTTGTTCTTGTGAGTGTTTTTATACCTACAAATTAAACGTTATACTAATACACTGCGCTTAGTCTGGCGCCTCCTGTTCCTCTTCTTTCTCTCAGATTCCACTGAAGCCTGAAGGTAGCAGTTTTTATGAATCGCATGGCTGGGAACCAATCTAATTGATTGCTGTCAGTCAGTGGTGATTGAGAGCCACAAGCCATGCAAAGGGTGAGCTGATGGCTCTCATGGAGAGAAATGTAATAATGTGTCCCCAACACAGGGTATGGGGAACATTAATATCCAAGGAAGGGAAGAAGTTAATAGAACCCATTGCTAATCAGGATTGTATTGCAAACAGGGGCGGACTGACAACTCATGGGGCCCCCGGGCAATAGGGGATCAGGGGGCCCCTGTGACCTTGCCCAAACTCAAAAAACCTATTAAAAAGGTACCAGGGGCATCTCATGGGGCCCCTACTGACCCCGGGCCCTCGGGCAGTGCCCGAGTTTCCAAATGGTCAGTCCGCCCCTGATTGCAAATGTGCTAAATAAAGAACATCCCTAGAGGCAGTAAGTACAGTAACCCACACCAGCCAATCGATATTCAGCTGACCATTGTAAACCAACATTTTCTTTTTGATACTATAGAATGCTTAATGCTACTTATCACCATTGCACCTCGGTCTTTGTTACTGAATTATATTGGGGTTATTAAAACAAATTTGTCCGCCTTCCCTGTCTTGCAGGCACTTGGGTGACGTTTGGATCTCAGATCACAGATGAGGTAAGGAGATAGCTGAGGTTTGCAAGGAAGCCGGCTACTGTAGGTGGTTGGGGCACTACAGTAAAAGCCAGCATGGGGCATATGGCATTACGGAAGCTCCATGAAGTCTGCTAAAACTACTAATCCTGTCCATTTATCTTCCACCAGATGGCAGAAAATCTCATGACAATTGCCTACGAACACGGGGTCAATCTGTTCGATACTGCGGAGGTGTATGCAGCAGGGAGGTAAGGTGTGAGCCCCGGAGCCAAACACCTGGTAGACGGGAGGAAGAATTGATTTGTAAGATAATCGTATAACAAAGAGAACGGCTGAAACAAGTTGTTACTCTTTTTGAGCACGTTTAATAAAAAAGGAAGACTCAGATTTAAAGGTATTGGGATCTAAATCCCAATTAAAGTCACAGAACTACATCGGCAGTCAGATAGACTTTGTACTACCAACATTATCTTCACTTTGCTGTTATAAAGTTGCGCAAATATGGCGGTCCGATGGGCACCAGAGTCTGAACACACTGCCCAGTGCACACAGTAATCTAACAGACCTGGTCAGACACGCCCCCTTTCTTCACAAGGCTGTGGAAGGTTCTGCATGAAGGGGGTGTGGCCATTACTCAGCTATGCCAGCATAGATCACTGGAGCAGGAGCACTGCAAGTGGCGGTCCGATGGGCACCAGAGTCTGACCACACTGCCCAGTGCACACAGTAATCTAACAGACCTGGTCAGACATGCCCCCTTTCTTCACAAGGCTGTGGAAGGCTCTGCATGAAGGGGGTGTGGCCATTACTCAGCTATGCCAGCATAGATCATTGGAGCAGGAGCACTGCAAGTGGCTGTCCCGATGGGCACCAGAGTCTGAACACACTGCCCAGTGCACACAGTAATCTAACAGACCTGGTCAGACACGCCCCCTTTCTTCACAAGGCTGTGGAAGGTTCTGCATGAAGGGGGTGTGGCCATTACTCAGCTATGCCAGCATAGATCACTGGAGCAGGAGCACTGCAAGTGGCGGTCCGATGGGCACCAGAGTCTGACCACACTGCCCAGTGCACACAGTAATCTAACAGACCTGGTCAGACACGCCCCCTTCACAAGGCTGTGGAAGGCTCTGCATGAAGGGGGTGTGGCCATTACTCAGCTATGCCAGCATAGATCATTGAAGCAGGAGCACTGCAAGTGCATTTATAATTATAAAAAAAAATAGTATTTCAATGCTTTTTTTCTAGTAAAAATTAAAGTCAAAACATACAGTGAGACGGGATTATAAAGAGAAACAGAAGTGGGAAACGTCAAGTGGTCACCAAATAAATGTATGGGATGGATGTAGGCATTCGAGCTCTCCAGCCCTACAAACATTTAATGCAGTGTGCACCCATACACAGGATACTCAGTGCATTATAGGATCTTAAAAATAAGAGTAAAAAAAAAAAATCTTGGCTTTAGATATATTTTAACTACTTCATGTCCGGACACCTTTACCCCCTTCCAGTCCAGGTCACTTTTCAGCTTTCAGTGCTATCACACTTTGAATGACAATTGCGCAGTCATGCAACACTGTACCCATATGAATTTTTTAGAGACAGATAAAACTTTATTTTGGTGGTATTTATTCACCACTGGGATTTTTATTTTTTTTATAGTGTCTATAGTTTTTTATAGGAATAGTGTCCCATCATTGATCTCAGTGGGAGGAATAGTGTCCCATCATTGATGTCAGTGGGAAAAATAGTGCCCTATCATTGGTGTCAGTAGGAAGAATAGTGACCTATCATTGGTGTCAGTGAGGAATAGTGCCCCACCATTGGTGTTAGTGGGAGGAATAGTGCTCCACCATTGGTTAGAAACAAGATGCGATGAGCATTTCACCACTTGTAAACCAACCCTTAGGGGTTTGAAAAAAGCAATGGATCATACCGATCTTCGTATGATCTAAAGCTTTTAAGGGCAGAGGAGAAAACTGTGGTATGATAGACCCCAGATCTCTCAGTAAAGAGTACCTGTCACTGCCTATTGCTATTTTTTTTTTACTAAAAAGATATTGGAATACATTTTGGCCAAGATTTATGAAGAAAGCTTATTTATTTGGAAAATTTTATAAGAAAAACACTTTTTTTCACAATTTTTGGACTTTGTCAAAATACAAAATCTCAGTGATGAATAAATACCACCAAAATAAAGCTTTATCTGTCTCAAAAAAAATGCTAAAAAATTCATATGGGTACAGTGTTGCATGACCGCGCAATTGTCATTCAAAGTGTGATAGCGCTGAAAGCTGAAACTTGGCCTGGGCAGGAAGGGGGTGAAAGTGTCCGGACTGGAAGGGGGTGAAAGTGCCCGGACTGGAAGGGGGTGAAAGTGTCCGGACTGGAAGGGGGGGAAAGTGTCCGGACTGGAAGGGGGGGGGAAAGTGTCCGGACTGGAAGGGGGTGAAAGTGCCCGGACTGGAAGGGGGTGAAAGTGTCCGGACTGGAAGGGGGGGGGAAAGTGTCCGGACTGGAAGGGGGGTGAAAGTGTCCGGACTGGAAGGGGGTGAAAGTGTCCGGACTGGAAGGGGGTGAAAGTGTCCGGACTGGAAGGGGGGTGTGAAAGTGTCCGGACTGGAAGGGGGTGAAAGTGTCCGGACTGGAAGGGGTTAATTTTCATCACTTGCAGTCACGTATATCCGCCTTAAGACCATCAGGCCAATAAACCTGTTATTCTGTACATCCACTCTCAGTAATTAAGTCTCTCCTGTCATCCTGTATTGCCTCAATTAGCTGAAATAGAATTTTTGTGTGTGGTCAGCTTTTCCCGGCACTCAGAAAAACTATTGAACGCTTACTTACTGGGAGTGATTGAATGATATTGGATTAGCGATCCATTTCTATTCCTGTAGCCTCTGATGTCATGACTGAGAACAAGTCAAAGAAAACGTAGCTCAAACAGGTGATGTTACCTGTCAAGGGAGTTCCCGGGTCTTAATTGGTTTGAAATATTGTCAATGCAAACCCCCCCCCCCGTGTACAAGCTTCACGTACACATCTACTCAAAGCTGAAGTTTAGGTATGTCAGTTTTTCCATAGTTACACTGATCCAGCTTGGACCAATGTAAGTATACATATTCCGTACCTGTGGGATCCCTGTGGAAGTGGAGAATCACTGTAGTAGCTGCTGCTTACAACTGCTATCCTTGCTGTCTTCTGGAGTCTGTCTCCAGCTGTCCTGCTGCATAGTGGTGTCAGGGGATTAGAATTCATGTTACTAACATGAAGGCATTTTGCCAGGATTGAATCACCAGGTATTGAATACATTAATGGGGAGGGATATGATCTCACATGTATAATAATTCATAAGGGGGGATACTGATCTCGAAATGTATGAATACATAAAGATGAGGATATGTTTCAAAAATGTATAATTACATAAGGGGGGATATGATCTACATGTATAATACATTAAGGGTGGAAATTTTGATCTCCTTGTTATAAAACATAGGGGGGATAGATATCATGTATAAATACATAAGGGGGATATGATCTCCATGTATAATACATAAGGGGGATATGATCTCTCATGTATAATACATAAGGGGGGATATGATCTCCATGTATAATACATAAGGGTTGGGATATGGATCCTCATGTTATAATACATATGGGGGGGATTAATGATCTCATGTATGAATTACATAAGGGGGGGATTATTGATCGCCATGGTATAGACTATAGGCCAATAAGGGGGATATGATCTGTACCTCCTTTATTAATAGCAGTTAAGGGGGATCTGATCTCCATGTATAATACATAAGTGATGGCTTAAGATCTCCTTGTAGCCTGAATTCCATATTGGGTGGATGTGGTCTCCGTGTATAAATCTCATAAGGGGCGGGTTATGATCTCCATGTATAATACATTAAGGGGGATACGAAGTCTCATGTATATTACATAAGGGAGTGATATGATCTCCATTGTTATAAAATGATAAGAGGGGATAGCGAATCTCCAATTGTCTGATTCTGTAGCTCTGGATTATGATCTGACATGAAGAACTTGTTCAAACATGGTAAAGTAGTGTTAGCTCAAACAGGCCATAGTTACTGTCAAGGGAATTCTAATCTTTGCATTATCATTGGGTGTGCGAAATCTTGACCTGAATGCGACTCCAACCCACCGTTGATTGGTCTACAAACTTCCATGACAATCATTCAACTCATCTAAGCTGTCGTAAATCGAGTTTTCGTACTGTGATGTTGCAACTTCAGCTGAATTAGTTTACTCTAATTGAATCCAGCTTGGAGACCTAATAGTAAGTATACATATTCCGTAACCCTGAGATGATGCAATATTAGCCTGTGGAAGTGGATCACTTCACTGCATAAGTAGCTGCAGTATACTGCTATCTGATTGGCTCGTCTTCTGGACAGGTCTTGACAGCTGTTGTGCGCCTGCATATAGTAGGATACTCAGTAATGGGACAGGGGGCCATTCAACGCTCGCAGGTTGCCTTCTAGCAGATACACTTGCATTGCTATTTCTGCGGTGTTTTGATGACATACTTTTATCTCACAAGACATCAGTAGAGTGATAACATGGAGTATGATTACAGCAAGCCTACAACTTGTTTTTTGGCCTGCAATGACTAGGAGACCAGGACAAGAGTCGGCACACTATAAATGTGCAATTCTTGATATTCGACTGGCATCTGGAGCAATGGTATTCATTGGAATACTATATAAGGGCATTATAATGGCTTTCAGCTGTATTCATGATAAGGAGAGAGGCCAATTGATCTACTTGTATAGTAATTAAGGGGGGGACTTTTGTCTGGTGCCATCGTAAAATTGTAATAAGGGCTAACTAAGAGAAAAAGTGTATATCTGTGCACTATCTCATAATACATGTAAGGGTGGGCCAGATTGATCTCCATGTATTCATACTTGGAGTAGGGGGGCTACCAATTCCTAAAAGCACCAGAATCCTTTGTGGTTGAGTCAAGTGAGGAAGAACTGGAATTTCTGAAGTGTGTAGTCACGTGCAGTTGTAAGAGATAGCCCTTTCCTCGAATCATGAGAAAAGCCGAAAGAGAAGCAAAAACCACACAAACTGAAGACAAAACTAGTGAGAATCCTATGTATTAAAATGATTCAACTTAGCTTATGGGCTATAATTTTTCTTGGTATATCCTATGCAATATATTATATGCCATTTAGGCTTTGTTATGTAGTCAATATCACTTGCTTTATATTTGTGGAAAGACATCTATCTATATAATTATTGTGCATTATGTAGTCATTACGCCTATAGTAGAAAACTTTCCGTTTACAGAAAAACTAGAGCCAATTGACAAATTTCATTGTTATATTTGAACTCAGAATGTGAAATTCATTAAGAAATGGATTCCTTTTGTTTCCATAAAAACTTTGGCAAAAAATAAAAATTTTGTAAGGGGGGATATGATCACCATGTATAATACATAAGGGGGGATATGATCTCCATGTATAATACATAAGGGGGGATATGATCTCCATGTATAATACATAAGGGGTGATATGATCTCCATGTATAATACATAAGGGGGGGATATGATCTCCACTGTATAATACATAAGGGGGGATATGATCTACCATGTATAATTACATAAGGGGGGATATGATCTCCATGTATAATACATAAGGGGGGATATGATCTCCATGTATAATACATAATGGAGATATGATCTCCATGTATAATAGATAAGGGAAGAGTTATGATCACCAAGTATAATACATAAGGAGGGGGGATATGATCACCATGTATAATACATAAGGGGGGATATGATCACCATGTATAATACATAAGGGGGATATGATCACACCCATGTATAATACATAAGGGTGGAATATGATTCTCCATATAAATACATAAGGGGGATATGATCACCTCCATGTATAATACATAAGGGGGATTTGATCTCCATGTATAATACATAAGGGGGGATTGATCTCCATGTATAATACATAAGGGGGGATATGATCTCCATGTATAATACATTATAAATAAGGGGGGATATGATCTCCATGTATACATTACATAAGGGGGGATATTGATCTCCATGTATAATACATAAGGGGGGATATGACGTCCATGTATAATACATAAGGGGGGATATGATCTCCATGTATAAATACATCAGTGTTCATATAGTTGAACTCGGTGTAGAGTTATTCCCCCTGAGGTCATCACAGAGGACAAGGGGGCACTCTTTACGTCTGGAGGAAAAGAGATTTAATCTCCAAACACGGAAACAGTTTCTTCACAGTGAGAGCTGTGAAAATGTGGGAATAGACTCCTCAAGATGTTTGGTTTTCTGGCCCAGCTCAGTGGATTGCTGTAAAAAGTCCTGGATTCTTTCTTGGATACACAGAATATAACTGGATATAACATTTATAGGTAACGTTGATCCAGGGAATATCCAATTGCCTCTCATGGGGGTTCAAGGAAGGAATTTTTTCCCCAGCAGGAGCAAATTGGATCGTGCTTTGCTGGGTTTTCAAGCCTTCCTCTGGATCAACTGTGAGTGTAGGATTATAATTTTTTTTGTGGTTGAACTGGATGGACTTTTAAGTCAAACTAACTATGTAACTATAAGAGGTATGGTGATGATGTCACAAATCTCCACTACTCGGCCTGGAATCTGGAACGAGAAGACAGCAAGGATCACTGTAGCAGCAGCTTCCACAGGGATCGCCCAGGTATGGAATATGTATACTTGCCTTGGCTCAAGCTGGAGTTGCAAGGTTGGTTTCATGTTCAATAAAGAGATGGGGATTTTGATGAGAGGTAAGGAAGATTCATTTTTAAAAGATCAGTTCACATTCAAATGATTATTTTAATATTAAAAAAGAGAACTAATTTTAGATATAAGTGGAAACTGGTGGGCCCCTCGATTATTGTTTTGATACTCCAACAGTAAGATCTCTCTGCCATAATTCCCAGGATCTGGTCCTGCCCACTTTTGTGTGTTCTACCTCCTCCAGTTAAATTCTCCATTAACTCAATAAAAAAAGGGATAATGGGAGCCCCACATAAAAGGCATAACAGTGCAGATATCTCACCAACAGAGTCACCAAAAGGGACTGCCAGGTGATGTACTAAAAAACCGTAATCATCTACTTTCGGGTGGACTGACCCTTCAAGCCCGCATTCCACCTGCTGTACTTTTTTTCTTTATTATTATTTGAACTTTGTGTTTCTATCAACAGGGCAGAGAGGACTTTGGGGAAATATCCTTAAAAAGAAAGAGTGGAGGTGAGTGCTGGATTGCTCATATAACCTGTCTAATAAAGTTTTTCACAATGATCTGACTTACATACCCAGCTAACCCCCCATCGTAAAGAGACCCCCTCCCCATTAAGTGTAATTTATCTTCTTTTTTCTCTCCGGAAGGCGTTCCAGTTATGTAGTAACAACCAAAATCTACTGGGGGAGGACAGTAAGTGCATCTATCTATCTATCTATCTATCTATCTATCTATCTATCTATCTATCTTATCTATCTATCTGATTGTCTGTCTGTCCATCCTTCCAACTCTATCTATCTATCTATCTATCTATCTATCTATATATAATCTATCTATCTATCTATCTATCTATCTGTCCATCCTTCCAACTCTATCTATCTATCTATCTATCTATCTATCTATCTATCTATCTATCTGTCCATCCTTCCAACTCTATCTATCTATCTATCTATCTATCTATCTATCTACATTCTATCTATCTATCTATCTATCTATCTATCTATCTATCTATCTATCTATCTATCTATATAACCAAAGACATTTTAGTTGTGCATCCTGAACCTTGTGGTAACAGTTTGGTGAAGGTCCTTTCCTGTTCTACCACGACCATGTCCCTATGTACATAGCCAGCTCCATAAAGACATGGTTTGATGAGTTTGGTGTGGAGGAAAGTGTCCTGCACAACGTACTGACCTCAACTCTTCTGAACATCTTTGGGATAAATTGGAACATCAATTGTGAGCCAGGTCTTCTCATCCAACATCAGTGACTGACCTCACAAATGTTCTTTTTACTGAATGGGCACACATTCTCAAAGACACACTCCAAAATCTTGGAGAAAGCCTTTCCAGAAGAGTGTAGACTGTTAAAGGTGCAAGAAAGTCCAACTCTATATCAGTACCCACGACTTTGGTAAGGGATGTTCAGCAAGTTCTTATAGGAGTGATGGTCAGACACCTATGAACCTTTGACTATCCATCTATTTACCTATCAATCATCTATTTACATTTTTGGCTTTCATATTTATCTTTCCATCTCTATTAATAACAACAATTTAATTGTAGTTTACCATACAAGGTTTTCCCTCTACTTTTATTGTATTTCAGCCCGATGTATGTAATCTTTGGGTTGCACCACATGTGGGTCCAAACTGCATATGTTGAAATATGTATAACCCAGGGGCGAACTGACAACTCATGGGGCCCCTGCGCAATAGGGGATCATAGGGCCCCTGTGTCCTCGTCCACACTAAAACCACACCCAAAAAAGCCTTTAAAAGGTACCAGGGGCATCTCATGGGACCCCCTACTGACCCTGGGCCCTCGGGCGGTGCCCGTGTGCTCGAATGGTCAGTTTGCCCCTGGTATAACCTTAAGATCTTCTGTTGGAGGTCCAAGAACAGTGGGATCACTGAAATCTGGGACCCAGGGAAAATTGGGAAGCCCAGCATAGAGTTGTAACCTAATATAAAAATTGGAAATTTTACCTGAATTAGAATACTAGAGCTCCGTGGTTTATTTAGTTCCCATTTAGTTCAAAGTGACAGGTTTTCTTGGAATAACAATTCTTCCTATGTTCTGATACCTTTGCCACTAGAGCTCTTAGGAATGTCTGTTTTCTCTTGGTATAGGAGAGCATTGTGACCTTCTCTCCTCCCTCCAAGGATGCAGTGCAAGACCCCAACACTATCACATCAGGGAGAGGAGGAAGTCATTAACCCTATGTAAGCTCTGATACCACGCTGAGCTTTTGTGGGTTTTGGACTCCGATGGAAAAAATAATTAGTAGATAATGTCGAAAAGGTGAATCCTAATAAGTTGGGTGTTGTTCTTTCAAGATAACCTGTTACCTTGCCTGGAATGGACAATGACTGGGGCTCTTCAACATAAGGTTTATAGGTTTTGCATACAAGGCATTTAACAAAATCAATAACTAACTTTTCTACTTTGTCCAGGGCAGAGACTGAGAGGGGCCTTTCTCGGAAACATATCATTGAAGGTGAGTAAGCCGTCAATGTAGACAACAAATGGGCAGAAAAAATATAACCATACCATAAAATACTTCAAAGCTCAACTCCAGCCATAACATATTTTTGGTTTTGTATAGAGTATTGAGGGGTAGAAAGTCTAATAGGTTTTCATTGCTCTCTGTGTCCCCTTTGGGAAAGTTTCTCCTAACTTGCTATCCTGGTGACTGTATAAGAAGTAATGAGACCCGGCATTGGGCACAGATGATGGATGACAGAGATGGCGATAATAACCTGACCAATCCCACTGCTTTCAAAAAAATCAAAAGTTTGGTTTTGGCTGGAGCTCTGAAGCAAAATCAAGTTGTCACTAGTCAGAGAAATGCATCTTGAATATGATGATTCTCAGGTCTCATATCACAGGTCTTTAGTCAATTGACTGGAAGCACTCTCATGAATATGAACTGTTGATGATGTCACAGGTTTCTAGTCAATGGACGGGAAGCACTCTCATGAATATGAACTGTTGATGATGTCACAGGTTTCTAGTCAATGGACGGGAAGCACTCTCATGAATATGAACTGTTGATGATGTCACTAGTCTCTAGTGATTGGACAAGCTGTGTTCTAATAATTATGAAATGTTGGTTTTATCAGTGGTCTCTAGTGATTGGACGGGCTGTGTTCTCAGGAATATGAAGTGTCGGTGATATCACTGGTCTCTAGTGATTGGACGGGCTGTGTGCTCATGAATATAAGTGTCGGTGATATCACTAGTCTCTAGTGATTGGACGAGTTGTGTTCCCATGAATATGACCATTCGTGTGTCACTGGTCTCCTGTGATTGACGGGCTGTGTTCCCATGAATATGAAGTGTCGGTGATGTCACTGGTCTCCATCAATTGAACGAGCTGTGTTCTCATGAATATAAAGTGTCGGTGATATCACTGGTCAGTATTGATTGGATAGATAGTGTTCTCATGAATATGAAGTGTCGGTGATGTCATTGATCTCTAGTGATTGGACGAGTTTGTGTTTTCATGAATATAAAGTGTCGGTGATGTCACTGGTCTCCATCAATTGGACAAGCTGATTTCTCATGAATATAAAGTGTTATTGATGTCACTGGTCAGTATTGATTGGATAGGTAGTGTTCTCATGAATATGAAGTGTCGGTGATGTCATTGATCTCTAGTGATTGGACGGACTGTGTTCTCATGAATATGAAGTGTCGGTGATGTCACTGGTCTCCATCAATTGAACGAGCTGTGTTCTCATGAATATAAAGTGTCGGTGATATCACTGGTCAGTATTGATTGGATGATAGTGTTCTCATGAATATGAAGTGTCGGTGATGTCATTGATCTCTAGTGATTGGACGAGTTGTGTTTTCATGAATATAAAGTGTCGGTGATGTCACTGGTCTCCATCAATTGGACAAGCTGATTTCTCATGAATATAAAGTGTTATTGATGTCACTGGTCAGTATTGATTGGATAGGTAGTGTTCTCATGAATATGAAGTGTCGGTTGATGTCATTGATCTCTAGTGATTGGACGGACTGTGTTCTCATGAATATGAAGTGTCGGTGATGTCATTGACCTCTAGTGATTGGACGGACTGTGTTCTCATGAATATGAAGTGTCGGTGATGTCATTGACCTCTAGTGATTGGACGGACTGTGTTCTCATGAATATGAAGTGTCGGTGATGTCATTGACCTCTAGTGATTGGACGGACTGTGTTCTCAGGAATATGGAGTGTCGGTGATGTCACTGGTCTCTAGTGATTGGAGGGGCTGTGTTCTCATGAATATGAAGTGTCGGTGATGTCACTGATCTCTAGTGATTGGACGAGTTGTGTTCTCATGAATATAAAGTGACAGTAATGTCACTGGTCTCTAGTGATTGGACGAGTTGTGTTCCCATGAACATGACCTGTCGTGATGTCACTGGTCTCTAGTGATTGTAAAGCCTGTGTTCTCATAAATATAAAGTGAGAGTGATCCCACTGGTCTCTAGTGATTGGATGAGCTGTGTTTCTCATGAATATGAAGTGACAATGATGTTATTTGTTTTTAGTGAATGGATGGTTTGCATTTTTTTTTTAATATGATTTGTCTGTGATATAAAGGTGACTACATGGCAGTTCACATACAGTACTTGACATTCTCATTACATTGTGATGCATTGAACTATAGAGAATTGAGAATGTTGTAGTAATGTGAGAAGAACATAACAGGGGGATGGTTGATGGTCCCTGTGGGAGTCACATCGTGACCTCCTCCACCAACATGATATCTTCCTCCAACTGGATGGGAGATTCAAGTCCTGCATCCCCTGTTATTACCAGTGCAGACTCTCAAACAATGAAAACTGTAGCATTGAATATATTACTACATGTCATATCAGAAGAAATGGTGGTACCATTAGGTGTAGTATTGAATATATTACTACATGTCATATCAGAAGAAATGGTGGTACCATTAGGTGTAGTATTGAATATATTACTACATATCAGATCAGAAGAAATGGTGGTACCATTAGGTGTAGCATTGAATATCTTACATACATATCATGTAGAATTGGTGGTACCATTAGGTGTAGCATTGAATATATTACTACATATCATACCAGTAGAAATGGCGGTACCATTAGGTGTAGTATTGAATATATTACTACATATCATATCAGATGAAATGGTGGTACCATTAGGTGTAGCATTGAATATATTACTACATGTCATACCAGTAGAAATGGTGGTACCATTAGGTGTAGCATTGAATATATTACTACATATCATGTCAGAATAAATGGTGGTACCATTAGGTGTAGCATTGAATATATTACTACATATCATATCAGTAGAATTGGTAGTAATATTAGGTGTAGCATTGAATATATTACTACATATCATACCAGTAGAAATGGTGGTACCATTAGGTGTAGCATTGAATATATTACTACATATCATACCAGATGAAATGGCGGTACCATTAGGTGTAGCATTGAATATATTACTACATGTCATACCAGTAGAAATGGTGGTACCATTAGATGTAGCATTGAATATATTACTACATATCATACCAGTAGAAATGGTGGTACCATTAGGTGTAGCGTTGAATATATTACTACATATCATATCAGAAGAAATGGCGGCACCATTAGGTGTAGCATTGAATATATTACTACATATCATACCAGTAGAAATGGCGGCACCATTAGGTGTAGCATTGAATATATTACTACGTGTCATACCAGTAGAAATGGTGGTACCATTAGGTGTAGCATTGAATATATTACTACATATCATATCAGTAGAAATTGGTAGTAATATTAGGTGTAGCATTGAATATATTACTACATATCATACCAGTAGAAATGGTGGTACCATTAGGTGTAGCGTTGAATATATTACTACATATCATATCAGAAGAAATGGCGGCACCATTAGGTGTAGCATTGAATATATTACTACATATCATACCAGTAGAAATGGCGGCACCATTAGGTGTAGCATTGAATATATTACTACATATCATACCAGTAGAAATGGTGGTACACCATTAGGTGTAGTATTGAATATATTGTTACATGTCATACCAGTAGAAATGTTGGTACCATTAAGTGGTTAATTCTCCCTTGTCGTCATGTCTCTGTTCAGGTTCTCCTTTCTCCTGATCCGTCTCTAATTGCTGCTTTCTGCCCTGCAGGTCTCCGGGGGTCCCTGGAACGGCTGCAGTTGGAATACGTCGATATCGTCTTCGCAAATCGAATGGATGCAAACAGCCCCATGGAAGGTGAATCCATCTCATTACTGTCACTTCCATATCTTTACTTTCCTTCCGTCCGTCCCTCGGTGACCCCGGCCCGGTGGATTGGTATTAATAGAGATTTACAGGAAACGGTACGGGCTGGTTATCAATACAAGGAGGCTGCTGCAATTACATGTTTCAAAGCTGAACTCCGAGAACAAAACACTTTCATTTAAATATTTTCCCTAATAGTCGCAAAGGATATAAATCCACTTTATGTGCACAAAATTCCTTTGCAAACCCAGATGTGACCTTGTAAGAGTAGCGATGACATCATCACTGCGGTGTACATAGCCTGTGCAGAGAGCAGAACTGTGGGAAGGGCCTAGCCTGCCCCACCCACTACAGACTGTCATAAAGGAGGGCGGAGACAAGACCTGTCACCCTGCATGAGGAGAGAGAGCAGCAGTGAGCGGTCTTTATCACAGGAGGAAAAGTCTCATTACTGCACAGATCTGGAAGAAATACACAAAGCACACCGGGATTCCAGGAAGAATACACAGGACTCTTGTATTTAGACAATACTAGTTTATCCGGGAGTTCAGCTTTAAAAAACACAAAATGCAAACAGCTTTTAAAAAAGAAGAATGAACTGCCAAGGAAAACCAAAATAATAATATTTTCTGCACTACTCACCTTCAGTCCGAAGGCGTCCCCCATAGCGATTCCTTACCACCACGAGATGTCTTCTGAGTTAAATGGCAGCAAGCCCACTTCCTTGGAATCCAGGCAGTCACCTAAGGATGCACTCTAGGGCCCAGGGGTGTATTTACCACAAGGCAAACAAGGCATTTGCCTAGGGCGCCATTTTTCAGGGGGGGTAGCACAGGGAGATTCTGAGATGATAAGGGGGACTCTGATGTGATAGAACTACTCTGACAAGATTAGGGGGGGCTCCAATCTGATGCAGGGGAGAGTCTGACTTAACGGGGGGGCTGTGATGTGATGAGGGGGACTCTGATGTGATAAGGAATGTTATGATGTGATGAAAGAACTCTGACAAGATGGGGGGGGGGCTCTGATCTGATATGGGAGGTTTGACGTAAAGGGGGTTTTGATGTGATAAGGGGGCTTTGATGTGATAGGAATCTGAAATGATAAGGAGTGTTCTACTGTGATGTAGGGGAATTCTGAAATGATAAGTGGGACTGTGATGTGATGGGAGTACTCTGACAAGATTAAGGGGGCTCCAATCTGATGCAGGGGTGGGTCTGACGTAATGGGGGGGCTGTGATGTGATGAGGGGGACTCTGATGTGATAGGGCTCTGACGTGATAAGGAGTATTCTAATGTAATGACAGGGGATTTTGAGATGATAAGGGGGACTCTGCCATGGTGGGAGAGGGACTCTGATGTGATAAAGAGAACTCTTATGTGATGGGGGGACTCTGATGTGATGGGAGGGGGACTCTGACTGACATTATAAGGTGAACTCTGATGTGATAGCAGAACTCTGACAAAATTGTGGGGGGGGGGGGGGGGGCAGCTCCTATCTGATACTGGTGGGTCTGACTTTGATGTGATGAGGGGGGACTCTGATGTGATAGGGCTCTGGTGTTATAAGGAGTGTTCTGTTGTGATGAAAAGGGGATTCTGAGATGATGGGAGAGGGACTCTGATGTGATAAAGAGAACTTTTATGTGATGGGAGGACTCTGATGTGATGGGAGGGGGGGACTCTGACTGACATGATAAGGTGTACTCTGATGTAATAGGAGAACTCTGACAAAATTGGGTGGGGGGGCTCCGATCTGATACGGTGGGTCTGACGTAACGGGGGGGCTGTGATGTGATGAGGGGGACTCTGATGTGATATGGCTCTGACGTGATAAGGAATGTTCTGATGTGATGAAAGGGGATTTTGAGATGATAAGGGGGACTCTGATGTGATGGGGCAGTCTGACATTATGGGGCTCTGATATGATGGGAGAATTCTGACAAAATTGGGTGGGCAGCTCCGATCTGATACGGGTGGGTATGACGTAACGGGGGAGGGGCTTTGATGTGATAAGGGACACTCTTCTGATGTGATGATGGGGGGGCTCCAATGTGATCAGGGGGAGTCTGATGTGATGGGGAGGGCTCTGACATGTTAAGGGGGGCTCCAAAGATGGGGAGAAGATGTTGGGCCAATCAGGGAGTTTGCAGACATCATGGGGCACTTTAGTTGTAGATCCTCTTGAATCCTCTGCCGTTCCCGGGACCCCCATCACCTCCTGCAGTCCATTCACATCCAGCTCCCTCCACTGTCTATGAAATCCCCCTCCCCTCATCCAATCAGCTGCTTCCCCTCTATAGACTCTCCATGTCCCCAGCCTCATTATCTCCCTCATCTGTCTTCCTCCATCTCCTTCTCCGCTGTCGCTTTTTTCTTCCTTCTCTTTCCATCCCCCCCCATCTTAGAATTTGTGATGACCTCAGCACATTGCAAAGCATTACCACCCCCCCTTCCTCCCCGCCGCCATCCCTCCGCCGCAGCTCACGCCAAGCGTGCAGGTCCCTCTACAGACGGACAAAGGAACGGAGACCTAAAAATAGGCCATTCTATATTTATCTGAATATTTCTGCAAGAATATGGGAGCTCTTCCAGGGAGGCTGCCAGGCGGGAGGACGGCGTACAATTACAGGCTATAAGTCGGCGTATGCGCGCCAAACTGACAGCAATCACAAGTATTAGATTACCCTACATACCGCGCCGCGCTTAGTGACACCTACGAAGGGTTCTACCCGCCCGCTCTCTATTGACAGCGTCCTAGATCGTGGAATCACCAAATATTACAGTCACATATACCGAAGACCAAATCTGCGCAATTTAACACGAAGCCGCGCTTTGGTCACGTAGGGCAAAGCAAGAAGGTGACCTTTGTGGGATGATGAACATTAGGGGCCCATAAGCACCCCCACACAGCCCCCAAGTTTTTTTTTTTCCTGCTTACCTGTAGTGCTGTTCAAAGCACATGCTCACCCACAGAGCAGATCCAGCATTCTCCCACTGTTCAGGCCAGGGGCGGACTGACAACTCATGGGGCCCCCGGGCAATAGGGGATCATGGGGCACCAATGTCCTCGCCCATACCCAAAAAAGCCTATGAAAAAGCCAATGAAAGGTATCAGGGGCATCTCATGGAGCCCCCTACTGACCCCGGGCCCTCGGGCAGTGCCCGAGTGCTCGAATGGTCAGTCTGCCCCTGGTTCAGGAGCTACATGGCAGGTCACACACCTCCATCTTGGTCCTCTTCAGATGGCTGCTTCTTCTGGGTGCAGGCAACCAGCTACAATGGTGTGTCAGACCTACCTCCCTGACAACTCTTCTTGACCATTCTCAACTTCCCTCCTGGCCCGCCATCATGGACCCCCCCACCCATCCCTCTACCTCTATCCTCCACCCACAACCACCTGGCTCGCCCTCATGAACTCCTCCGGCGCATCAACTTTACCATCCCCTGGTCCATCCTCCCTGCTGATCCCAATCAACTTTGTGTGCACACTAGCAGCCTCCTGGGAGATGTGATGTAGATATCCCCAGGAGGCTCCCATCCCAATCCCCCAGCTCGCCCTCATGAACCCCTCCAGCCTCCTGATCACCCCCTGGTGCACTCTCCCTACTGCTCCCCATCCACTTTGTTTGTCAAACCTGCAGCCTCCTGAAAGATATGATGTAGGTATCCCCAGGAGGCCCCTGTCCCCAGTTCCCTAGCTGGCCCTAATGAACCCCTCTGGCGCGCCTTCCCGACCACCCTCTGGTCCACCTTCCCTACCGCTCCCCGTCTACTTTGTGTGCCAAACCTTCAGCCTCCTAGGAGATGTGATGTAGGTCTCCTCAGGAGGCTCCTGTTCCCAGTTCCCCGGCTGGCCCTAATGAACCCCTCTGGCATGCCCTCCTGACCACCTCCTGGTCCACCTTCCCTACCGCTCCCGTCCACTTTGTGTGCCAAACCTTCAGCCTCCTAGGAGATGTGATGTAGGTATCCTCAGGAGGCCCCTGTCCCCAGTTCCCCGGCTGGCCCTAATGAACCCCTCTGGCATGCCCTCACGATCACCCCCGGTCTACATTCCCTGCCACTCCCTGTCCCCTTTGTGTGCCAAACCTTCAGCCTCCTGGGAGATGTTATGTAAGTATCCCCAGGAGGCCCCTGTCTCTAATCTTCGGCTCGGTCTCATAAACCTCTCTGGCCCGCCTATCCAACCACACCCCCTGGGCCACCATCCCTACTGATCCCGTCAACTTTGTCTGCCAAACCTGCAGCTTCCTGGGAGATGTGATCTACGTATTCCGGAAGGCCCCTGTCCCCAATTCCCGGCTTGCCCTAATGAAACCCTCTGGTACACTGTCCCAACCACCCCTGGCCCACCTTCCCTACCACTACCCATCCCCTTTGTGTGCCAAACCTTCAGCTTCCTGGGAGATGTGATGTAGGTATTCCCAGGAGCTCATGTCCCCAGTTTCCCGGCTGGCCCTAATGAACCCCTCTGGCATGCCCTCCTGACCACCTCCTGGTCCACCTTCCCTACCACTCCCTGTCCACTTTGTGTGCCAAACTTTCAGCCTCCTGGGAGATGTGATGTAAGTATCCCCAGGAGGCCCCTTTCTCTAATCTCTGGCTCAGCCTCATAAACCTCTCTTTTCCACCTATCCAACCACCCCCTGGACCACCTTTCCTACTGATCCCGGTCAACTTTGTATGCCGAACCTGGAGCTTCCTGAGAGATGTGATGTAAGTATTCCAGGAAGCCCCTGTCCCCAATTCCCCGGCTTGCCCTAATGAAAACCTCCGGTACACACCCTCCCGACCACCCCTGGCCCACCTTCCCTACCACTACCCATCCCCTTTGTGTGCCAAACCTTCAGCTTCCTGGGAGACGTGATGTAGGTATTCCCAGGAGCTCCTGTCCCCAGTTCCCTGGCTGGCCCTAATGAACCCCTCTGGCTTGTCCTCTTGACCACCCCCTGGCCCACCTTCCCTACCACTCCCTGTCCACTTTGTGTGCCAAACCTTCAGCCTCCTGGGAGATGTGATGTAAGTATTCCGGGAGGCCCCTGTCCCAAATTCCCCAGCTCGCCATCATGAAACCCTCTGGTACATCCTCCAGACCACCCCCTGGCCCACCCTCCCTACCCCTACCCATCCACTTTGTGTGCCAAACCTGCAGCCTCCTGGGAGATGTGATGTAAGTTTCACCAGGTGGGGGGGGAGCGAGTACCTGATTTTGACAGGTACCCACTTCCAGTACAATTGCCTAAGGGGATCGGAAGTAGAAGTTGTCCTCCCCCTCTCCACGTAGTCTTCTGGGACACATGACAGGTCCCAGAAGACTACGGGGCCATTCACAAAGTGCAGCGCTTCTTGCGCATGCGCAGTGAGCACCCAGCTGTGAAGCCACAAGCTGTCACAGCCGGGTGCCCACACTGAAGATGACGGCGCCGGGGAGAGAAGACGGCGAAACCAGCCATGGTGAGGACACCGCGGGACCGAGAGACAGGTGAGTGGCTGTATTTTAAATATCAGCAGCTACAGTTTTTGTATCTGCTGACTTTTTTTTAATTTAACTGGAACTCCGCTGAAACAAAACTGTTTCGGACAGGTATAGGTAAGTACAAAAACAAAAAGTATCGGTACCCATATTCGATGTAAAAAAATGGTTTTGGTGCATCCCTAGTTTTATACATACAGTAGATGACTTAAAGTGTTACTAAACCCACAACAGTACAATCAGTCTGTAGATGCAGTAACGCATGCTTGTTATACTCACTGTGGAACCTAAGGGGTTAATCCTCTGTATTGTGTAAAAAGGCTGTTTGATCCTGTCTTCTCTGATCCTCCCCTTTTTCAAGTGACCACCACTTATCTCCAGAGTGAACCGTAAGCATGCACATGCTCAGTTTGGTGTGCATTGCTAGAGAGGTTTTTTTTCTTGGGAGGGTGCATGTGATCAGCACAGGGCCAATCAGCACTGTCCATACAGAGGTCAGGGGATTTGTATCCTCCTAGTGCAGAAAGAAAACTCCTCCTACAAGCTTTAGCCAGTGCTGTGCTGGACACTGATAGAAGCCACAAGACTGCTTTAGCTGCTGAGAAAAGGTATTTAGCTGTTAATATTTACTAAAATAATTGCATTTCCATGTTCTGTGCACTGTGGGAGACCAGATATAGTGAATGCAGGGTCCGGGGAGACCAGATATAGTGAATGCAGGGTCCTGGGAGAGCGGATATAGTGAATGCCGGTCCGGGGAGAGCAGATATAGTGAATGCAGGGTCCGGGAGAGCAGATATAGTGAATGCAGGGTCCGGGGAGAGCAGATATAGTGAATGCAGGGTCCCGGGGGTCCGGATATAGTAAATGAGACCGGGATATAGTGAATGCAGGGTCCTGGGAGACCAGATATGAGTGAATGCAGGTCCTGGAGACCAGATATAGTGAATGCAGGGTCCGGGGAGACCAGATATAGTGAATGCAGGGTCAAGGGAGACTGGATATAGTGAATGCAGAGTCCAGGGAGAGCGGATATAGTGAATGCAGGGTCCGGGGAGACCGGATATAGTGAATGCAGGGTCCGGGGAGACTGGATATAGTGAATTCAGGGTCCGGGGAGAGCAGATATAGTGAATGAAGGGTCCAGGGAAACCAGATATAGTGAATGCGGGGTCCGGGGGAGACCAGATATATAGTGAATGCAGGGTCCAGAGACCAGATATAGGGTCCGGTGAATGCAGGGCAGGGTCTGGGGAGACCAAATATAGTGAATGCAGGGTCCGGGGAGAGCAGATATAGTGAATGCAGGGTCCGGGGAGACCAAATATGAATGCGGGGGTGAATAGTGCATGCGGGGTCCGGGGAGATTAGATATAGTGAATGCAGGGATATAGTGAATGCAGGGACCGGGGAGACCGGATATAGTGAATGCAGGGACCTGGGAGACCGGATATAGTGAATGCAGGGTCTGGGGACGGATATAGTGAATTCAGGGTCCGGGGGAGACCAGATATAGTGAATGCAGGGTCTGGGGGAGAGCGGATATAGTGAATTCAGGGTCCGGGGAGACCGGATATAGTGGAGAGAGATATAGTGAATGCAGGGTCTGGGGAGAGCAGATATAGTGAATGCGCGGTCCAGGGTTTAGTAACACTTTAATATAATGGTCTTGGTCATAGGAGCTTACAGTCTAATAGGTATAATGACAGAGAAGCTGAAGTGTGAATATTTAGGTACATACTGTGTTTCTCTTATTTCCAGAAATCGTCCGAGCCATGACATTTGTGATCAACCAAGGGATGGCGATGTACTGGGGGACGTCCCGCTGGAGTGCGATGGAAATCATGGTACGTGATCTTCAGTACAAAAAATGAACCTATCACTAATTTTACAAATATTCATAAATAGTTTCCTGACATCACAATATGCAGCCCAGAAAAGCTCCACCTTTATTATTAACCCCTTAGTGCCTGCGCCTCCCAGCCCTTTAAGGGGTCATGTGACCGCCGTGATTGGCTGTCATGGCAGTCACATGATCGGAAGTTCCCAAGCGGGACCTATTCATGGGCACATGTGCTGAGAGCAGGGGCGGACTGACCATTCGAGCACTGGGGCACTGCCCGAGGTCCCGGGGTCAGTAGGGGGCCCCATGAGATGCCCCTGGTACCTTTTTCATAGGCTATTTTGAGTTTGGGCAAGGACACAGGGGCCCCATGATCCCTTATTGCCCGGGGGCCCCATAAGGTGTCAGTCCACCCCTGGCTGGGAGCGTGCAGGGCGTGCACTCTCAGTACATGTTTGTTTACAAATGGCACGCACATATATGTGGCCGCTCGGCATCATCAAGTCCCAGCCGCCAAGAGGCCACATATTTGCATACGCTCGGCGTGAAGAGGTTAAAAAGCCAACCCCAGTTGGTGACTTTGCCTAGCCTGATATGATGTCATCAGTCTGCTGCAGGCAGGAGGAAGCGTTTTCTTAGTCTCCTCTCCCCCAATGATCAGACTTACTAACTTTGCAGTGAGTCACAAGGTGAAACTGCAGCAGGGGCTGAGCTGTGTCAGACGTTTGTGAACACAGTCTGCACATGCACCAGGATATACATGACTGTGTGATCTCTGAGTCAGGATCTCAGTCTAGGAAGTTTATAATAATCCTGGGTGATGCCTGAACAAAGATGGCTCCTGCCTTGTGGAGAGAATAGCAGATGGAGGCATTGTCAGGGAGAATACGGTGAAAGGTAATAAATGCTGGGAAGTGTTACAGTGACAAAGCATGCATGGACTTGGCCAGGGGCGGACTGACAACTCACGGGGCCTCCCGGGCAATAGGGGATCATGGGGCCCCTGTGTCCATGCCCACACACTCAAACCACACCCATAAAAGCCTATGAAAGGTACCAGGGGCATCTCATGGGGCCCCCTACTGACCCCGAGCCCTCGGGCAGTGCCCGAGTGCCTGAATGGTGGGTCCGCCCCTGGGCTTGGCATGAAAGATTACATCTGATGACAGGTGCACTTTAAGCTCGGAGTCACACATTTGTGTCTATTGCGATTACTTATGATAGCGAAGTGATATTTAACCACTTCCCATCCAGCCCATGTATATAAACGGCCAGACGGGGGCAGTGCAGGGGCGGGTTGCCATTCATAAACGGCGCCCGTATTTTCAAGCTGTGTGCACTCCCTGGGAGCACGCAGCACCCCAATCCGGTGCCCGCAGTGTCCTCCGGACACAGTGGAACACCGATCGTTGTACAGGACCTTTATGTGAGGTCCCGATCATGTGATTACTGATTGGCCAATTGGTGATCACATGAAGAGTAGTAAGCAAGATGTCACTTCTGACATCATTGCTTACTATGTGTGAAATATGTGAATGATCACAGAGATCACATGGTACAGGGCTATTCACAACAGACTTGTACCATGTGACAAGCTGTGACCAATCACAGCTCACTCAGTATTTCTCAATGGCTGCAAGAATGCAGAGAGAAGGAGAAATGATTGCTTTTACAGCCTTTATGGGTGTAAAAGCAATCAGTGTAAAAAAAAAAACAAAAAAAACAATCTTCATCACCCCCCACAATTGTACAGTGTCACTATGGTGACACAGTACTGCTAGGGTGACAGTATGCAAAAAAAAAACCCCATAATAATATATATTAAAAAAAAAAAATTAGAAAAATTATAATTTTTGGTTATAAACTAATTTGGGTTATTTTTTTTTTTTTACTAAGAAGATAACTGAATAAATTTTGGCCACGATTTATGAAGAAAAAGATTATTTATTTGCAAAATGTTAAAAGAAAAACACTTTTGTTTTTCCAAATTTTTGGACTTTTTCATTTATATGGCAAATAAAAAAAAAAAAATCCCAGTGGTGAATAAATACCACCAAAATAAAGTTTTATCTGTCTCAAAAAAAATGCTAAAAAATTCAAATGGGTACAGTGTCGCATGACCGCGCATAGGCAATTGTCATTCAAAGTGTGATAGCACTGAAAGCTGAAAATTGGCTTGGGGGGGGAAGGGGGGGGGGGGGAGTGTCTGGACTGGAAGTGGTTAATATATACTTTAAAGGGAGTCTTTACAGTCTCCAGGCATGTTCACATAGGAGTGTATTTATATCTGCCTGGCAGTACTGGGGTCGCCGGTTCAAATCCCAGCCATGGCACCACCTGCCTGGAGTTTGCATGTTCTCCCTGTGCCTGCGTGGGTTTCCTCCCACACTCCAAAGACATGCTGGCAGGTGAATTGGCTCCTGTCTAAATTGTCCCTAGTATGTGTATGTATGAATGTGAGTTAGGGACCTTAGATTGTACGCCCTTGAGGGTTAGGGACCTTAGATTGTATGCCCCTTGAGGGTTAGGGACCTTAGATTGTACACCCCTTGAGGGTTAGGGACCTTATATTGTACACCCCTTGAGGGTTAGGGACCTTAGATTGTACACCCCTTGAGGGTTAGGGACCTTAGATTGTACCCCCCTTGAGGGTTAGGGACCTTAGATTGTACACCCCTTGAGGGTTAGGGACCTTAGATTGTACCCCCCTTGAGGGTTAGGGACCTTAGATTGTACGCCCCTTGAGGGTTAGGGACCTTAGATTGTACGCCCCTTGAGGGTTAGGGACCTTATATTGTACACCCCTTGAGGGTTAGGGACTGATGTGAATGTACAATATATATGTAAAGTGCTGTGTAAATTGATACCTGAAATAAATAAATATAAAAACAAGTGTGTAGGTATTCATCCAGGGAAACTGTGGTTACATTTATTCTGTTCAAATGAGGCAAAATCGAAAGTTCTCCTTCTATTTCCTCTACAGTTCGAATGGTCTTCAATGATAAAAAGCAGAGTGTGGGAAAATAGCGCATTGTGGCCACTAGATGGCGATATGAATCGCAGCATGATCCTCAGCTCCATCTAGTGGCCATAATGCGCTATTTTTCAGTTTTGTTTTTTTTTACAGAATAGCATTCGACCTGTTGAGGAAATAGAAGGAGATCGTTCGATCTTGCCTCATTCACACAGAGCAAATGTGCCAGCACTTTCCCTAAATGAATGCAATTTTTAAATAAAAATACACCCCATCAGGGGAAGACTGACCATTTGGAAACTCGGGCCCAGGGTCAGTAGGGGGCCCCATGGGATGCCCCTGGTACCTTTTTCATAGGCTTTTTTGAGTTTGGGCAAGGACACAGGGGCCCCATGATCCCCTATTGCCCGGGGGCCCCATGAGTTGTCAGTCCGCCCCTGCACCCCATAGTGCAGGGATGTCAAACTCAATTTCATTGCAGGCCACATCTGCGTTGTGGTTGCCCTCAAAGGGCCGGCTGTATGACGAATGCGTTGTGTACCATATGATCTCCTCTTCCTTTCTCCTTCTATTCAACAGTTTCCAATCTCCAAAGCAAAAAAAAAACGAATGTAGCGCAGTAATTTCTACGTAAAGTATAATACGTGACACACCCGGGCAAAATATGCCAATCGTGTTCACCAATATCCGCGCTAATTAGGGCTCCATGTACACTGCGGCTGATAAACACGTTTTGGAGCAGTTGTGCGTTTTTTTTTCAGCAGCCCCTGAACTCTCCCTAATGTTCTCCTATGTGTCCGTGTACACCTCGTCCTTTACAGGCGTTTACAGGCAGTTGAGTTTACAGTTGTTTTTTTTAACGCACCAAACTTGCGTTCAGGAGTAGATTTTAGGGCTCATGTACACTGCGGCTGATAAACACGTTTTGGAGCAGTTGTGCGTTTTTTTTTCAGCAGCCCCTGAACTCTCCCTAATGTATTCCTCTGTGTCCATGTACACCTCGTCCTTTACAGCTGTTTACAGGCAGTTGAGTTTACAGTTGTTTTTTTTAACGCACCAAACTTGCGTTCAGGAGTAGATTTTAGGGCTCATGTACACTGCAGCTGATAAACTCACATTTAGGAGCTTTTCTGCGTTTTTTTTTTCAGCAGTCCCTGAACTCTCCCTAATGTTGTCCTCTGTGTCCATGTACACATCGTCGTTTACAGCTGTTTACAGGCAGTTGAGGTTACAGGCATTTTTTTGAAAGCACAAAAATCGCGTTCAGGAGTAGAGTTTACCGGCGTTTCAAATGCCAAATGCTGATAAATGCAAGTAAACTCATGTAAACGCGTTTATGCGTGTTTACGTTTAGACTCGTGTTTTGGCTGGTCCATATCCAGATGCTGTCCAGAACCTTTTTTCTTCATCAGAAATGCATGCAAAGCGTTTTCCATGTATTCATACGGACCCGGTACACCAGCGCAGTCAGTGCCAGGTTTGGCGTGAAGGAAACAATGGCATTATGCTCATGATGGGATCCATAGTGACTACAACCAGAAAAGACAGGTCATCTCCACACATACTGCTCTCTCTGCTTCTACTCTCTTCTTTCAATATGTCTGAAATAGTTAATTTTTTTTACTGTTTTTTCAGTGCATTCTGGGCATTTTGGAAGGTCTCCTGAGGTTATCTTTAAAAAACGCTTCTAAACGCAAACGCTCATAAACGTGGTATGCAAACGCAGCTAAATCAGAAGTTTTCCAAACATCCCATGTACATGGAGCCTAATGTAGGCCATAGATGGGTCAAAAACCGGCCGTTTAAAAAAAAAAAAAAAAAAAATCGGTCGTTCAATAGGCCGACATTACCACCAGCGTTAAGAAAAATCGGCCAATTTTCATTCCTTCTACGGCCGGCATTTAATTACTTCTGTCCCTTGCAGAGAGCTCCGCTATTATATTTGACATGAAAAAGTATTGTGGTTGCAACAATGTATCCATTTGTATCCATTTCGGATACAGATGTTTTTATTCGGATACAAATAGATA